AGTTCAATCAGACAGAAAGTCAACATGAAGGTAGAAGGTATGCTTAGTGAGAAGGATAGTGATGATGAGCAAATACATTGTAGCCACAGGCCTGGTAGGAATATATACAAATATGTCCAAACATTTTCAAAATTCGATGAAAAAGATGTAGCAGAATTTTTTTGTTTCCTTTGAGAAACAAAAAGAAACAATAAAGGATTTATATGTATTCCAAAATGCTGTTACTTTAAGGATAAAATCTTAAGGTGGTAATGGAGACCTTGGCAGGTTAGTGCAGATGAGAAATGGGTGAATGTTCACCAGACTGTGTTGCCAGTAGAATATTGCGGAAGTATAGCGGGTAGCATACGAATTACCGGTAGAAGGTCATCTAGGGGTGAGGAAGACTCTGGCTAAGATACAGAGCATTTTTACTGGCCTGGATTATGTAAAGATGTGGTTGAATTTTGCCATATCTGTCATACATGTCAGATGGTAGGAAAACCACAGGCAGTAATAAAACCAACCACCCTCCCCCTTCCCCCACCCCACTGCCCGCTTTCCCCTTCACCACTGCCCCCATCACTACTTCCTTCCCAAGGATCTCACTGTGTCACTGTGCTCAGGACAGTACCTAAAGAGTGTTGCACTGTTGGGAGGAGCTTTCTTTCAGAGGAGCCATGAAGTGGAGGCTCCATGAGCTCTCTTCAGTGAATGTGAAGGACGCCATGGCATTGTTTTAAAGACCAAGGGAGAGGTTCTCTTTTGATTCCTGGTGAGAATTTATACATCAATCAGAATTAATAGAAACATTTCTGGGTTATTTATTCATTGGTTTGTGGGAGCTTGCTATTCATAAATTAGCTCTCATCACTACAGCGACTTAGTGTCATAGATTCATACAGCACAGAAACAGACCCTTCATTCCAACTATACTGCACTAACCAGACATCCCAATCTGACCTAGTCCCATCTGCCATCATTTGGCCAATATCCCTCTAAACCCTTCCTATTCACGTATCCATCCAGATGCCTTTTAAATTCTGTAACTGTACCAGCCTCCACCACTTCCTCTGGCAGCTCATTCTGTACACACAACACCCTCTGTGTGGAAAAGTTACCCCTCAGGACTCCTAAGTCTTTCCCCTCTAACTTTAAACATATATCCTCTACTTTTAGACTCCCTAACCTTTGGACTTTGGTTATTGACTCTATCCATACCCTTTATGATTTTATAAACCTGCATAAGGTCACCCGTATGTATCCAATGCTGCAGGAAAAAAGCCCCAGCCATTTGGAGAAGTACATGAATGGGAAAGGTTTGCAGGGATGTGGGCAAAACACAGGCAGGTGGGACTCGTTTGGTTTGAGAATATGGTCAACATGGACTAGTTGGACTGAAGGGTCTGTTTCCATGCTATATGACTATGGCTCTATGCAGCCTGTCTCTGTAACTCAAACCCTGCCTTGTCAATCTTTTCTGCACCCTGTCAGGTTTAACAATATCCTTCCTATAGAAGGGTGACCAGAATTGAACACAGTATTCGAAAAGTGGTCTCACCAACGTCCTGTACAGCCGCAACATGACGTCCAAACTTCTATAATCACTGCTCTGACCAATGAAGGCAAGCGTCCCAAATGCCTCCTTCACCACCTGTGAATCCACTTTCATGGAATTATGCACCTGCACTCTTAGGTCTTTATTCAGCAACGCTCCCCAGGGCCCTACCATTAACTGTATAAGTCCTGTCCTGGTTTGCCTCACCGAAATACAACACCTCATTTATTTAAATTAAACTCCATCTGTCACTCATCAGCCCACTGGCCCATCTGATCAAGGTCTTGTTGTACTCTGAGATAATCCTCATTATCTATTTTGGCTGTAATGCATCTGGGAAATCTTGTGGTTGTGAAAAGGTGCAATATGAATGCAACATTTTTCCAATGAAATCCTACACCAACATGAGGATACTCTGTGTAAGCTTGGGAATTATGAACAGTGTCAATTTATCAGCCATAACTCACCAGTGTCACAACATCCAGACCAATCAGGAGTATGGATGAGTGGAGGTTTAATAAAACTTACCCAACCTATTGTGTCAGAGTGCCCCTTCCACCACGGAGGGCTGAATAAGAGACCCAACCATAGAGAACACCACAGTGTGACTGGCAGTTCGACTGGTAAATACCCAGTCAAACTACAAGCTTCATCTCCTCCCTTTGTCCTGCTATTGGGACCTATGACAGGATTCCACACTACCCCACCCCCCCCAACCCTCAACCAAACGGTCTTTTATTTACTCATTCAGATGTTGGCATCACTGGCTGGGCCAGCATTTATCACCTGTCCCTAATTACCCACGAGAAGGTGGGGGTGAGCTGCCTTCTTGACCCGCTGAAGTATATGTGCTGTAGGTAGCTAGACCCACAATGCCCTTAGGGAGGGAATTCCAGGTTTCTGACCCAGCGACAGTGAAGGAACAGCGATATATTTCAAGTTAGGATGGTGAGTGGCTTGGAGGGGAACTTGCAGGGTTCCCATGATCTGCCACTCTTGTCCTTCTAGATTGTTGAGGGAGGGAGGTGCAAAGTGAGTTTGTAAGATGCTGTCTAAGGAGCTTTGGTGAATGTCTGCAGTGCATCTTGTAGATAGCACATGCTGCTGCTACTGAGCGTTTTTGGAGTGACTGAATGGTGTGGATGTGGTGCTAATCAAGGGGGCTGCTTTGTCATGGATGGTGTCAGGCTTCTCAGTTATTGGAGCTGCACCCATCCAGGCAAACGGGGAATATTCCATCCCACTCCTGACTTGTGCCTTGTAGATGGTGGACAGACTTTGGGAATCAGGAGGTGAGTTACTCACTGCAGGATTCCTATCAACTGATGTGCTTTTCCAGCCACTGCTGATCCATTTCAATTTCTCACTAATGGTAACCTCTAGAATGTTGCTAGTTAGGGATTCAGTGATGGTAATGCCATCTGTTAGAGATGGTCATTGTCTGGCAGTGGACAGCACTAATATTCCTAGGCACTTGTCTGTCCAAACCTGAATATTGTCCATTTGAAATTGAACTGCTTCAGTATTTCAGCAGTCATGAGTGGTGCTGAACATTGTGCAGTCATCACTACACATCTCCAATCTGATCTTATGATAGATGAAAGGTATTGAAGAAGCAGCTGATGATGGTTGGACCTGGGATACTACCTTGAGGAACTCCTGTAGAGATGCCCAGGGGCTGAGATGACCAACCTCTTAGAACCCCAAACCTTTTTTGCGAGATATGACTTCAACCAATAGAGACAACAGGTTCCCTCTGATTCCCATTGACTAGTTTTGCTAGGACTCCTTGGTACCATACTGTCAAATACAGCCTTGATGTTGTGGACAATCACTCTCACCTCACCTCACCTCTCTTGTACATGTTGAACCTAAGCCATAATGAGCTAAGGGGCCCTGGGAGAATCCAAACTGCTTTTCCTGCAACCCCCAAACTCAGTGACTGTGCTCCTCCCTCCCACCTCCTACCACTGTTTCCCCAACGCCCCCGCCCCACTTGAACAACCCCTTCTCAACTCAGCTAACTGGCTGATCACTGTGGAACACCTCCATCTGCCTCTTCTCCAGCCACTTGCCATTTAAATTCTGCACCTCATTTGCACGTCACTGCCTTTGCCTCCTAATTACTTATTGATCACAGACCTTGAAACTTAATGGTGTTTCTCCCTCTCACAGCTACCGCCTGGTCTGCTTATTTCCAGTATTTTCTTTTTCTACTTCAATGTTCAGCAACTGCAGTACCTTGACTTTTCTATTAATTATTCGTTCGTATATTTTGCCTCCTACATGATCTAGAAGAAATCAAATACCAAGTTTTCAGAGGATGAATAAAACATTGGTAACTCAGGTTCAATTGCAGATTTATGAGAAATAAGCTCCTTTGAATCAAGTCATCCTGACTTTGCAGCATTCCCTATAAATTGACTTGCAAATCCTTTACATTTATGTCACTTGTTGTTTGCTGCTTGTATACCCATCTTCCATTTCTTCCTTCCTCCAACTCTTGTTAACTGCTCTGTCATTGCTCAATGTGTAACCAGCTTGATGGCTCTGTCCCAGCAATGAAGCAGTTCTCTGCCTGCAACACTTCAATAAACTCGGTGAGCACATTATTGAACGTCTTACAGCTGAAATAGAAACTCAGTGCTGATGTGCGGGAGGGACGGAGGGACGCAAATGTAAGTGTGGAGCTTTGCCTTGCACCCCAGCTCACAAAGCCTACTCCATGTCACTTGAGGGTTGTGCTTAACATGGAGTTGTCGAAAGATTGTTAAGCTTGTGCCACCAAGGACACTCCTACCCATCAATCCTGACAACAGGTCATCAACATTACCTCTGTTTCTATCCACAGATGTTGCCTGACCGGCATGAATTTTTCCAGCTATACTTTCAAGTCTTGTTTCCATCTCCACTCAGCCAGGCTGAATCCTGTTTAACACCAAGTTCACTTTCTGATCAACTGCTGTCTCCCTGCCAAAAATGGTATACTCTACCTCTGTAACATCACCCATTTCTCTCTGGCTTTCCCCAGTTCACTTTCTGACGACCCTATCCATTGTCCCCAATTCTAATGTTGACCAGCTGAGCAGCCTCCTCTCAACTTCAGTTCTTCCAAACCTCTAACATTCACCACGTCCAATTCAATCATCATCATGTTGCTCATTGACCTATGGGGGCTCCAGTCTCCTTAGTGTATGGAATTTAAAATTCTCACACCAGTTCTGTGGAAGGGTCACTCAACCCGAAACGTTAACTCCGATTTCCCTCCGGACCTACTGAGCTTTTCCAGGAATCTCTGTTTACGTTTCTCATCCCAGTGTTCCTGCCTTACCATGGCATCAGCCTTTGCCCTCTCTCTAATCCCTCACAACTCCCACCCAACTAGAAACTACACTGCTCCAGTTCACATCGTTGCTCTGCTCTCTGAACAGAAACTTCAAAAGATTTAGTTAGACAGACTTACATCACAAGTGTAGTGAACTTCATTCACAGAGTATTTCTTTTTGAAGTGGTCACGGTTGTGAATCCTTTGAGGAGAGAAAGAGAGAGAGAAAATGTTGAGAGAGTCACATCTGTTTTCTGTCCTCCTGTTCCCTTTGTCTGCTCTCAAAGCTCATTCCTTGGAACTGAGAGCATTGGGTCACACAAACTTGCTGTTTCTCAATGGGCACCTGTTCTTCTGCAGAAGAAGTGACAGCAGACCGTATACCCTATTCCCCACCCCACTTTCCAGGAAGTGGTTTTCCTGGAATATTTCTCAACTGTCCCGTGGGTAGTTAGATTTAGATCCCCAGCTCTTCCTGTGTATAAGCAGTTCTGCCTGTACCACCAGAAGGGCTCTTGTGGTGCAGTGGTAATGTCCCTACAACTGAGCCAGGAGGCTTGGGTTCAAGTCCCACCTGCTCCAGAAGTGTTATAAACAGCTTTGAACAGAAAATCAGTGCACCAGATTCCAAAGTCTACACAGTACCTCAGATAATGCATCTGAAAACTTCCAGTTTCCATGGAATCATAGACACTTCTAACCCGTGTAAGGGACACTTGTTAAAGTAATAAAAACCAATGTTTTCAAAGAATCAAGTATTGATCTGAATAAGAACATATTTACGTAGAATTTTAATTTCTTCATTGTCTGAAAATTACAGTCAGACTGTACAGGAGAAATATTAGGAAGCATTTCTACACACAAAGGGTGGTAGAGGTTTGAAACTCTCTTCACAAACTAAAATAATTGCTGGATTAGTTGTTAATTTTAAATCTGGGATAGATAATTTTTTTAAGCAATGGTATTAAGGGATGTGGGTCAAAGCCAGATATATGGAGTTAGGCCACCGATCAGCCATGATCTCACTGAATGGTGGAACAGGTTTGAGTGGCTGAATGGCCTTCACTTGTTCCTATGTTCCTAAATGACAAGCACCAACCATTCAAAGAGGAACAGTATTGTGAAAAGGTTTATAGAATAAAGAGCGAGCTTCTATTTCTACAGGCAAGAGGGTCACAGATTAAAGTCAGGAGCAAACAGAAGACGAGAGTTGGGGTAAATGGTAATAATCTGAAACATATCGCTTCCGAAAGGGAAGTGGAAGCAGGAACTTGCGAAAAGGAATTGGACAAATAATTGATTATGTCTTGGGGAAAGAGCAGGGGCATGGGACTAACCAAACAGATTTCTCAAAATGCTGGCACAATGGGCTAAACGGCTGTGTTCTCTGAACATAAGATTCTATCCTTGGCTTCTGTCTGACTCAGTGGGAGGGTGTTTATCCTGTTGATAGTAGTGACTATAACTTGCTGCGACAGAAAGTGACCTCATTGAGAGCCTAACTTACTTTTCACAGGAGTCCAAAATTATAAATAATCCCAGAATCAACAGCACAGAAAAAAAATCAGATTTCCCCAAATCAAAAGGGTAGCAAATTCTAACTTCCTTCATTGAGGGGAGAACAACGACGTAACCTGAAGGAGACCATTTAATCAATACATTAATTAGAGCTACAAATAATTGCAATCAACAAGAGTGCAGCAGCTGCAGTATTAATTACACAGGGAGATGATACAGAGTAGATAAATAATTACTCCCACTTTCAATCTGCTCCCAGAGCCAAGAGTAAATAATGGCTTCCATTAATTAGTGTGTTTGACAAATTAGACTAACAAATCCCAATCCCTCATTGTCTGTCCTCAATCATAATCCACACAGGAAATCTCAGACTTGCAGGTACTTCTCAGTAAATAAAATTACTGAATAGTATGATTGGAAAAATAGTAGCGTCTCCAATTTTCTCTCCTGAACACTCAGCCTTGGTGAGCAAGTGCCTTCAGCACCAGAAATGTGTAATTATTCAAGAGTGTCCGTAAGCTATTTGACTGCATGGGCATCTCAGCCAGGCGCAAAGTGTCTTATACCAACAACTGTATGCAGGCATTGACTAGTGGGGAGTCAGGGGAATGTGACTTCCTCAGCCAGTACCTTCTGCTTAATCAAGATCACCAAGCAAAGATGCAGCTCCCCTGCTGCTGCCGTGATAATGAACGGAGTCAGCACAGGCAGCAGAGTTGAAGCAGGAACTCTTCTAAACTGTGCAGCTCATTAGCAGAACATCCCATAAGGGTGTGTGTAGGGAGCTCAACTATTCCTTACACTTATTAATGACTAAAATGTGGTGGAATGGAAAACTATATATCCGAATTTGCAAATTACACAAAGACAGCACTGTAAGCAGTACCAGCAAAAACCAGGTTACATCTCTTTTTTTTCTTATCCCTCACTGCATCTCTGAGACAGTGGGAGCTGGAATCAAAGAAGATTTGGTTTAAATCATGGACATGAACTATATTACCTTGTTGCTTAACTTTGCTTTGTTAAAGTAACTATATTAATAATAAATTGTTAATTCTTTTGAGCAATAAACTTGGTGTCTGGTATGGGTTATTTTAAGAGTCTGGTTAAGAATAATTGCAGCAATTTTGAGGGGCATTGAATACTTTAATTTTACTGTGTTGTGAATACAGGGATAGGGAAGCTGATTTGATTTGGCTGTCTGTCTTCATGTCATGATACAGTTGGGTTTCCGGTCAATGGTAATCCCCTGGAGGTTGACAGTGGGGGATTCAGCAATGGTAATGTTACCAAATGTCAAGGGGTGATGGTTAGATTCTTTCTTGTTTGAGAAAGAGATTACTTGGCACTTGTGTGGCACATATGTTACGTGCAACAAGTCAATTCAAGCCTGGATATTGAACAAGTCTCGCAGCACCTGCACTGCTTCAGCATCAGAGGGGTCATGAATGGTACTGAACATTAAAAATACCCTATAAGTAGCTAGACAGTCAATGGTGCATTGGCTGTAATTTTCCAAAATTCTCCAGGGACCAAGGAATTTATCAGAGGATTGGAAAAGGCTGTCAAAGAAACAGTTCAAAAAGGGAGGGAGGCAAAAAGCAGGTAACTATTGGCCAATTAGCCTAGAATCTAACATTGGTAAAATATTGGAATTAAATATTAGGGAGGCAATAACAGAACATTTGGAAAATTATAACCTAATCAAGCAGCGCAAGCATGGCTTCATGAAAGGGAAATTTATTAGACTTTTTCCAAAGGAGTTTCAACCAGAGTGGATTCAGGGGAACCAGAAGATGTGTTTTATTTGGATTTTCAGGAAGTATTCAGAAAGTTACCTCACTAAAGGTCAAGTCATAATTGCTCACAATGTTGGAGGTAGTATAATGGCATGGATAGAGAATTGCCTCATGGACAGGAAATATTGAGGGGGGATAAGAGATTCTTTTTCATGTTGGCAACCTGTGGGGTTCCCACAGGGATCTATGCTGAGACCACAACTGTTTGTAATTAATGTTAATGACTTGGAGGAAGGAAGTGTATTCAAATTTGCAGACACAAAAATAGGAAGAAAGGCTGATTGCAAGAGGGATATAAATAGTTTATAAAGCAACATTAATAGGTTAAATAAGCAAAATGTTGACAAATGGAGTATAATGTGAAGTCATTTTGGAAGGGAGAACAAAAGAGCAGCAAATTTATTTAAATGGAGTAAAACTGCAGTAAAATGGGACTTGGTGTCCTTGTGTACAAAACAGAATGCTAGCACACAGGGGCAGCAGGTAATCAGGAAGGTTAATGGGATATTGGACCTTGTTTCAACACGGTTGGAATATAGGAGCAGGAAAGTCTTACTATCACTGTACAAGATGCTGGTGTGACCACATCTAGAGTACTGGGAACAGTTTTGGCCCCTCATTTAAAGGAAAGATATCATTTCATTGAAAGCAGTCCAAAGACGGTTCAGTTGGATGATCCATGGTATGGAGGGAATGTTTTATGAGTAGAGGCTAAACCACTCACTGGAGTTCAGAAGAATGAGATGATCTCATTGAAACATATAGGATTCTTAAAGGGCTTGACAGGATGAATGCTGTGAGGATTTTCCCCTCATGGGAGAGGCTAGGACCAGAGGACAGTCTCAGAATAAAGGGGCACCAATTTAAGACGGAGATAAAAAACTCCTTGCCAGAAAGCTGTGGGGGCACAGATCATGTGTTTTTAAGACTGAGATAGATAGATTCTTAATCATTTGATTAATCAAGCGATATGGGGAAAATACAGGAAAGTGAATGTAAGGAATGTCAGATCAACCATGATCCTGCTGAATGATGCAGCAGGCTCAAGGAGCCAAATGACCTATTCCTGTCCCCACTTCTTATGGTCTTAGCATTATGTAATCATCCACAAACATCGGTGGGATGGGTGTAGGCAAAATTGAGATATACTAAGTTGTGAAGGGTTTAGACCGTGTGGTAAAGGAGAAACCTTTTCCCTTTGTAGGTGGGTCAATAACCACAGGCACAGTTTTAAGGTATGAATCAGGACATTTACAGGGGATTGGGGGAGTGTGGGAGTGAAGAGCGGGAGTGAAGAAAAGAAAATGGAATTAGAATAGACGAATGCTTGGTGACAGGCATGGATACAATGGGCTGAAGGGCCTCTTTCACAGTGCTGTTAAAGACTCTGAGTTTATGACTGCCCTTGCCAGAATGTCAAAGATGCTAGACCCAGGGGAATTCAGATGACAGAAACTAGGAGAAGTGGGCCACAGAGGGATTGGAACACAGCGATGAGAATTTCTGAATTGCAGCAATGCCAGACTGGGTGCCAGACGTCAGACATCAGAACTCAAACAGCAACAGCAGACTGCTTTGGAAACTAGAAAGAGCTTACGTTCCCATCCACACTGCATAGCTCTCCGGGAGTTTGGGAACAAACAGCAGGGACTTGCCAGTGGCAACTTCCACAGCACCATAGCAGTCCGCCTCCAGCACTCCAAACGTCCAGTGGAAATAAGATTCCTACAAAAAGGAACACGTTTACTGTTTTTAAACATTATCTCATTCGTCCCACATCCCAATGCTCTACCCATCACCCCCCACACCCCTACTTAGCCTGGTATATTTTCTCCCTAAGTAGTTATCCAATTCCCCTTTGCCAGTTACTATTGAATTGTGCTCCCACCATGTTTTCAGGCAGCACATTCCAGATCAGAACAACTCACTGTGTGAAAAGAATTCTCATCTGCTCTCTTTCCAGATCACAGTCACTATCATTCAGGAAAGCATATAAAAGTATTCAAAGCAAAAGACAAAGTGACCTTTTTATTTGCTAGCATGGAGGTATGTCCTGACAATTATATAGTGTCTATCATCATTTACCAGTTGCGCTCATATTGTACATTCATCAACTGTGTGGAAGGTCCATGGGGAGCTTTATTCACTGCAATGCTCATGGCAGAGCCAATTCTATAGTCTCCACCATGGGTCAAGATCCCAAACTCCAACAACCACCTTCCAATAGACCAACCACTGTCCCCTGCCATCTACACACAACCCAACCACTGACCCCAAGCTCCACCAATATTCCCCTAAATCCCCATCACTCCGTCCCCAACCCACTCCCCAATCCCCCAATGTCCCACCCTGCTCAAGCAGCCCTGACCCATCACTCCCAGTCAACACCCCTGCCAACCACACAGCCACCGGGTAATATATTATCATTGATAGATGACTGGCTAACTAATAGAAGATAGTTAGGGTAAACTGAGGCATTTGCACGTTGGCAACCTATAACCGAGGTGTGTCACTAGGATCAGTGCGGGGGCCACAATTATTTACAATATACATTCATTGCTTCAATCAAGGTAGTGAATGAACTATAGTCAAATTTGTAAATGACACAAATAATTGGGAAGGCAAGTGATGAGGGTGACACATCTGAAAAAACAGATTAATGAGTGGACAAGTTCTCAACAGATTTAATATATCGTGGAAAATGTGAGGCTGTGCACTTTGGCAGGAAGAAGAGAGGAGCTGAATATTAGTTAAATAGAGAAAGGCTGCAGAAAGCTGCAGAACAGAGGGAATTGGAATCCTGGTGCTTGAATCACAAAGTTAGCCTCCAACTTCAGCAGGTAATTTTTTTTTAAATATTCACTTGTGAGACATATGCATCACTGGATGGGTCAGCATTTATTGCCCGTCCCTAGTTGCCCTTGGGAAGGTGGTGGTGAGCTGCCTTCTTGAACCACTGCAGTCCATGTGCTGTAGGTTGACACACAATGTCCAAGGGAGAGCGCTCCAGGATTTGAATGAACGACAATGAAAGCAAATAGAACATTAGCCTTTATTTCAATTGGAAAGTAGTAAGGTTTTGTTAAAACTATAGATGGTATTAGTCAGGCCTCAGCTGAAATACTGAACAGTTTTGGGCTCCCTATCTATATTCACATTGGAGGTTCAGAGATGACTTTCTTGACACATGCAAGATTTTTAGGGGACTTAAGAGTAGATTTAGAAAGGTTGTTTTCCCCTCATGGGGGAGTCTAGGACTAAAGGGCAAAATCTCAGAATGAGGGCCACATATTTAAAACAGAGTAGGGGGAATTTCTTCTCAGAGTAGTGGATCTGTGGAGTTCTTTACTGCAGAGGATTGTTGAGGCTGGGTCATTAAATATTCTCTAGGCTGAGATAGACAGACCTTTAGTCAGTAAGGGAATCAAGGGTGATAGGGGAAAGGCAAGAAAAAAGGAGTTGAACGCACTGTTTGTTATATCAGTCAAATAGGTTCAGCCATGATCTCTCAGAATGGCAGATTAGACTCAACGGGCTGAATGGCCTACTTCTGTTCCTCCATGGAGTTGTAGAGATGTACAGCACAGAAACAGACGCTTCGGTCCAACTCATCCATGCTGACCAGATATCCTAAATCAATCTAGTCCCATTTGCCAGCATTTGGCCCATATCCCTCTAAACCCTTCCTACTCATATACCCATCCAGATGCCTTTAAATGTTGTAATTGTACCAGCTTCAACCACTTCCTCTGGCAGCTCGTTTCATACATACACCACTCTGTGCGTGAAAAGGTTGTTCCTTGGGTCTCTTTTAAAATCCTTCCTCTCTCACCTTAAACCCATGCCCTCTAGTTTTGGACTCCCCAACGCTGGGGAAAAAGACCTTGGGTTATTCACCCTATCCATGCCCCTCATGATTTTATAAATCTCTATAAAGTAACCCCTCAGCCTCCAATGCTCCAGGGAAAATAGCCCCAGCCTCAGCCTCTCCCTATTGTTCAAACACTCCAACCCTGGCAACTTCCTTTCTTTTCTGAATCCTTTCAAGTTTCACAACATCCTTCCTATAGCAGGGAGGTCAGAGCTGTACGCAGTATTAGCAGAACTGTACGCAGTATTCCAGAAGTGGCCTTACCAATGTCCTGTACAGCTGCAAAATGACCTTCCAACTCCGATACTCAATGCACTGACCAATTAGGGCAAGCGTACCAAATACCTTCTTCGTTATCCTGTCTACTTGCAACTCCACTTTCAAGGAACTTTGAACATGCAATCCAAGGTCTCTTTATTCAGCAGCACTGCCCAGGACCTTACCATTAAGTGTGTAAGTCCTGCCCCGATTTGTCTTATATCTTATGGTCTGAAGACGATTAATGGTGAAAGGAATTGAGAGTATGATTGAACATCTCTACTAAAGAGGTGACATGGATTCGACAAGCCGGATGGCCTTCTACACAAAAAGATTCTGTAGAAATTCTCTGGGTAGCTGTCGAATCAACCCGCTGGAAGGGTTAATATATCATCATACCTATCTGACTGATATAACGAACAGTGCGGCCAATTTCTTTGCTGTATATCCCACATAACAATGTGCCACCTGTTAGTTGGGACAGTAATAGAACAGAGACCAGTCAGCTCACCTGACGGAAGACAATACCAGTGTCGGTGCAGTATCGCTGGAGTTCATCTCCCCCCTGCAGGACCACCACTGCTTTCTTTGGCACCTCAGTATTCTTACGTAACTGCTCGCACAGACGGCGCCTGTTCAAGGCAAAGAGCGCCATTGGCACCCGGAGGGTCTCATTACCCAATGAGAAGGAGGGCCTGAGAATAGAGGACAAGAGAAATGGATGACCAAATGTACATAAAGGAGCAGCAAATGAGACCTCCCAGAGTGAAGAGAAACAGATTCAACACCCAGTCACCTTTCCCTTCCTCTGACCGAGCTACTATCACTGCAGAACATATCAGCCTCCCTTCTGAGTGAGGCAGTCGGTGGTTCTCAGTCCCAGTCCTGGCACACAACCCCAGCTGACAGCCCCATCCTGTGTGAACAAGCCTACATATTCCTGCTTTCACCCACCACCACCCCCACCACACTCCCAATCCCCCCAAATTAGTTTAAAGCCCTCTGTACAGCCCTAGCTTATGATTCTTTGATTTGGCACTTTGTTAAACATGTTATGGATATCCAAGTATGTCAACAGACTCCTCTGTTATCCAAAGCAAGTTACTCTTTCAAAATAAATCCAATAAATTGATTAAACATGATTTTCCTTTCGCTAAACCATGCTGACTCTTCCCAATCACATTGTAGCTGGACACATTGGGAAAATTCAATCTCCTTAATGCTCACTTGACACCTTCTCCATGACAGATGTCAAAGTAACTGGCCTATGGTTCGTCTCTTTCTGCTTCCAAGCCTTCCTAAAGAGACGGGCTATACTTGATAATTTTCAGGCTGCTAAAACCTCTCCAGAATCTAGCGAAGTTTCAAAAATGAATTGAACTGCATTAGCCTCCTCTTAAAACCACAAGATGGAGTCTATCAAACAGTAGCATTTTAGTACTATCGCAGAACCAGAATCCTGGCCAAATGCATTGAGGACATGGGCTCAAATCCACATTGACAAATGATGAAAGTTTAACTCAATTAAAAAAAAATTTGGAATTAAAAGCTAGCCTAATGACAAACATGTAACCATCATCAATTGTAACAAAAGCACATCTGGTTGACTAACGTCCTTTCAGATTGGAAATCTGCTGTCCTTACCTAGTCTGGTCGGATTTGTGCATGACTCCTGACACACACCAGTGCGGTTGACTTTTAACTACCCTCTGAATTGGCACAGCAAGCCACTGAATTCCAGGGCAGGTAAGGTTGGGCAAAAAACACTAGCCTTGCTAGTGACAACCACATCCCAACAACAACGCTTTTCAAAACAAAAAGAGCCAAGTACATTTCAGCCCACAATTCTATCATTTACTTCCAAATACAGCTGGAAACTCTGCCAGAAGATTCACCTTCCACATTCTAACAGATTAATTTCTGTCCCACAGGCTCATTGCATTCATTTTCCCCTCCGTGCAAGTTAAAAAGGTTAAACATGTCTGTCCAAGCCTATTCCCATATCCTGCATACTCTACCTTCAGCAACTGAAGGGGGGAGGAGAAAGAGAGACTGTTGGTGGGAGGGTGGAGTGGAGGAAGAGAGAGAGGGAGGGTG